AAATGGACAGAGGAGATAGATAGACATTTTTCGAAAGAAGGCATAGAAATGATCGATGAGTATATGACAATATGCTCAGGATCATTAATAATCAAGAAAATGCATATTAAAGCTACAATGAAAGTTTATCTCACATGTGTTAGAATGACCATCATCAAATAGGGATGGGGGGGTGGGGAGAGAGAGAAGAGAGAAAGAGAGAGTGTTGGTGAGGATGCAGAAAAGAAAGCCCTCTTGATGGGGATGTAAATTGGTGCGGCTTCTATGGGAAACGGTATGAAAGCTCCTCAAAACAATCAAAAACACAGCTAGCATGACGAACCACAAATCCCACTCCACTCCCTGGGCGTACATCCAAAGGAAGTGGAAAGAGGTTACCAGAGAGAGAGAAGCGCCACCGTGTCCATGGCAGCACTGACAACCGCCCAGACACGGGAGCACCCTCAGTGGCTGTCCCCCGATGGATGAGTAAGATGTGGTATGTGTGTGCTCAATGGAATACTACTCAGCCCCGCGGGAGAAGGGAATCCTGCCATCTTCAACATCGTGGACGGCCTCTGCGGGCATTATGCCAAGAGAGATAAGTCCCACATGGAAACACAAACACTGCAGGGCATCACTTATTCTAAAATCTTAAAAACAGGGGCAAGCATGGAAGCAGGGAGCAGATAAGTGGTTGCCATGGCTGAGGGGCGGAGAGGGAGAGAGAGGAGGGGGGAAGGGTACAGACTGCAGCTGTAAAATGCATGAGAACGGAGGATGCGATGTAAAATGAGGTGGTTGTGGTGGATAACACTGTAGCACAGAACTGAAATCTGCTGAGAAAGGAGAACTTGCATGTTCTCACCAAGTAAGTAAATAAATAAAGGAGGTGATGGATGTGCTAAGTAGGTAGATGGGAGGAATCCTTTCAAAATGTATAGGCATATCTAATTGCCATGATGTACACTTCACCATGAACTTACAACTTTGTCAGTTATACCTCAATAAAGCTGAAAACACACAGTTCACATTTCACTTTGTATTCTCTCCCCGCCCGCCCCCATACATAACCCTGAGATACAAGTCTCTGGGGCAGAGTCTGAACCTGCGAATAGCTGAATCTTAACTTTCTCTCAGGCATTTGCATGCTACACTTCTGCTTAGCGCTGCTTGACAACGTGACACTTTCCCCGCTCCACTGGAAGCGTGACGCTGAGAGGCCAATAACAAATGAGGACAGTTACAGGCAGGGCTGGGCCAGGTGGGAAGAGTGGGAGCCTCGGTCCACCAGCCACGACCGGTGCTGGCTTGCCGGGCCTGGAGAACTGTTCTTCTTTAAAATGATGGGTCCTGTGTGATCTCTGGCAGAGGAAGGGAGACCACCTCGTACACGAGGGGAGATCAGTAACTAAGAACACACACAGCTTTCCAACATCAGTCACCAGTTACCATGGTGATGCAAGTATTACCTAACAACTCACTGGGCTGTGAGTGTCCAAGATCCTGCTAAATACATTGCTTGGGAAAATGGAAAATAGGCTCTCATTTTAGGAAAACTTGCAAGGAGCTAGCTGGACCTAAGGACACATGGCAGGCCGCCCAGGTTTGCCCCGAGATGGAGGCCCTTCCCTGCCCTGCAGTGCTGAGCGCTGTGGAACAGCTGCAGGGGGAAAAGGCATAAATTCTTATTTACAAACAGCCTCCTCGTCCCTCAAACTCTTAGTAAAAGAACAATCCCTGTCCAGCTGGTGTGGCTCAGTGGTTGAGCATTTAAGCATTGACCCATGAACCAAGAGGTAACTGGTTAGATTCCTGGTCAAGGCTCACACCTGGGGAAGGGCGTGTGGGAGGCAATCAATATATCTCTCTCATTGATGTTTCTATCTCCCTCTCTCTCGCCCTCTCCCTTCCTCTCTAATATATATATATATATATATATATATATATATATATATATATATATATATATATTTAAATATATTTTATTGATTTTCACAGAGAGGAAGGGAGAGGAATAGAGAATCAGAAACATCGATGAAAGAGAAGCTTCGACCAGCTGCCTCCTGCACACCTCCTACTGGGGATGTGCCCACAACCAAGGTACATGCCCTTGACCAAAATTGAACCTGGGACCCTCCAGTTCAGGCCGATGCTCCATCCACTGAGCCAAACTGGTTAGGGCTAAAAATATATATTTTTAAAAAGAATAATCTCAGCTGTCACTGGCCAATGAAGAGGGACAGATAGAATGGCAGACTTAGGTGGCAGTCCATTTTATGTTATTTTATTTTATTTTGTAACGTTTATTGATTTTTAGAGAGAGGGAAGGAGATAGAGAGATAAAAACATCAACTAGCTACCTGCTGCCCGCCCCCTACTAGGCGAAACCCAGGAATGTACCCTGGCTGGGAATTGCACCGTGACCTCCTGGTTCATAAGCCAGAGCTTAACAACTGAGCCACGGTGGCGGGGGGGGGGGGGGGGGGGGGGGGGGGGGGGTGTGTGTGGCAGTCCCTTTTAGACTCAACATGAAGTACTTCCTCAAGCAGAACAATTCCCAGAAAATGACTAGGATGCCCAATAAAATGATCATTTTCCGACTGTTCTGAGGAGTTTAAATTGGCTGTGTCTATGTTAATGTTAATTTTAATTAGAACAAAAGCATAAATATTGCATGAATTTTTAAATTTTTCCAAGAATCAGCTGCACATGAACACACTCCTAGGTTGAACTTAGTGCATGACTGCCATTCACAGTGCACAGAGCCCAACTCGGAAGAGTGGCCCAGGGCACAGGTCCTCCAGGTGGCCCCTGGGTGCCGCACAGGGCTCTCTGCAGGCAAAACTCAGGGCCACATCCTAGGCCGGCTCCATCTGAGGTGCCCAGGTTGGGGTCCAAAAATCTATACTTTTAAAATGTTTTTCCCTAGGATGCTATGTTCTCTAGTCTGAGAATCCTGTCCTTAGGAATTTCCAATGAACTGCAGTCCCCTGACAATGGTGACAGAAGACAGGACAGCCACCAGGGCCCACAGGCTGAGAGAGGTTAATCAAGGCAAGGTCTACAACCCAGGGTAAAAGTCCAGCACAAGCACATGATTTATATGTGTGTGTGAGAGATACACAAGTTTTTCACAAGCTGTGCAGGTGATACACTCCAACCTGCTCTTTCTATTCCAATTTTTCTTACTATTACAATGAACTGAATTGATTTCATTATCCACTAACCGGTGATGTTTGCAAAACTCTACTATAACTTCAACTATCCTATAATTTTATCACTTAATAATTTTCACACTTTTTCATATTATACCTCAATGAGTAGAAAACCATCCAATCTTTTCCAATGATGTCCCAAAGTCACAATATATTAGTTGCCTTTAAAAGGCGAACCAAGTTGAAATGAGACAGTTCTGCTTAAGGCGATCAATAGCAACATATTTCCCTGCTAGCACTGAACTTTACTTATCTACTCTTTATCTTTCAAAGAGCAGTGTGCAGATTATATGAAGGCAGGATAAGATAAATGAAAAATATTGAGGAAATGAAGCATGAAGACAGGGAACTAAGTGTCTGTGGAGTGAGTCAAAGGAACAAGTCACATTAACAACACGCCAGGAGGTGTAGGCCGGTGTTAACCCTCAGCACTGGCAGCCAGGGTGGCCAGGAAAGCACAGGAGTTATGAAAATTCCAGTGTGCGTCTGGACAGAACAAGGCAATTTCTGAAAACATTTCCAAGCAGTGGCTATCCTCCCTCACACCCCTACACACACTCCTCATGTAAAGTGCGCAGTCACAGTGGGCGTAAGGCCCATTACTGCAACCACCTTCCACCGCCACCTGACTTGTGGGTAAACCTGGGGTTACTCTAGGGACCACTGATGGAGAAATAACGCCCAGAGCCAGAGGATGCCCCAATCCCCCTCCTCCCAGAGTATTCTCCCTCCTCCCAGGACATTCTCCCTCCTCCCAGGACATTCTCCCTCCTCCCAGAGCATTCTCCCTCCTCCCAGAGCATTCTCCCTCCTCCCAGGACATTCTCCCTCCTCCCAGAGCATTCTCCCTCCTCCCAGAGCATTCTCCCTCCTCCCAGAGCATTCTCCATTTACTTCTGTCCCACGCCGCCCACCTCTCTGCGGTGAAAACTTTTCACGGGGCTGCCCCTCCTCCCCGCCGACAGCCCAGGTTGTATGTTCCACGAGGACCATGTTGGCGTCTTGCATCTCAGTGGCTGCTCCCTAAAACCGAGCTGGATACTCAACTCCTTTAGCCAGCCCTCGGGAAAAGCGATGGAAGCACAAAGATGTGGACTTGCTTCTGGATTCTCGGTCACTACCCCTGAGATGCTGACGGAGCCATTGGGCTTTTTTGATTCAGTCCCTTATCTGTCAACAAAAGCCAATGTGCGTGCATCATGGGTGAGTCTCGAGGAAGAAATCAACAAACAGATGTAACAAGCCTGGCCCACTTCCGGGCATCCAGTAGGTTCTGAAGGAAGGTCAGTTTTCCCTTCTCCTCCAGTTTTCCCTTCTCCTCCAGCCCTCCCCTTCTCCACGCTTCCCATGGCATAAACATCACCAACAAGAAAGCAGGGCTCCCAAAGCCGCAGAACACTCCGAGCCTGCACAACGCCGGCTTTAAAAAGGTCTTGTCATTGCTTCAGCCACTGAAGAGGGCTTAGGCATTGCTGGGGGAACTGCCCGTGAACGGGAGCTAGACTGCCATCCAGGGTCCCACTAATGCTTCGACCACGCAAAGCGAGAGAAAATGAGTCAATTCGCTGCTAGAAGGCAAGTGCAGTGCTGACACAGGACAGGGAGACCCGTCTTCACTCCTGGATGGGCTGAGCGCCGCCTGCTTAGCACTGAGGGGGCAGCTCTTTGCTGCGCACACTCCGCCTCCTGGAGGGCCAACGTGAAATGTAGACCAGCAGGTCTGGTCCTGAGCGGAGGAAACGTCACTCCTGTTTTAACTTCCTTAAAAGCTACCTGCCCCGGGTTCAATCCCAGCAGACCTACCTTCTCCGTGATGTAGAAGTTTGAGCTGTCCGCATGCTGCAGGGCGAAGTATTCGTGGTTGGCCAGGGACCACCTGAAAACATAAGCATAAACTGTCAGAAAGCCAGTAAGCGGTCACTCTCATTGTTAGTCTGGTAGAGGGAAATGAATTGAAGACCCTATCACATACCCCACAATGCAGTTCCTAATTCCAAATGATATCAGGCACCTAAGACCCGTTCTTTCCCCCCCCCCCCCCCCAGACCCATCCAGGTTTCATTCCAAGCCTCCTGCTCACTGCAGCTCTTCATCGTCATGGCTGTGGGCAGAGGTGATATTTAAATATAAAGTTATATCCCTCCCTATTTTGAAGCTGTGGAGCAGAGATGGGGAAACAAAGGAAATGAATGCAATTTAAGCTTTCAGTAACTGTTGCATTTCGATTGCCTCTGCATTCTCCAACCCCCAGTCACTCTGGCTTGCTGCAAATTGGAACATTCTAGTGATGTATCCTGGATTTTCAGTAAATCCCAGGTACCCTCTAGCCACAGTTCTGCTTTAAGAGAGAAAAACACACAAGCAACTAATATGTGCTTTCCGCTGACTGTGCGCGCGGCCAGAGACGTGGGAGAGCCGGCTGTTGTGATGCCACGTGGCAGCAGAGTGGCCACTGACTTGTTGAATGATTGATTTCCTCCTCCACGGGGACCGGATACCCAGTGGAGTGAGCATTTACCTCCGGAACGTTACACTGTGTCCTGTGAGACGGCTGGATGAGCACAACCTCTCACAATAGACAGAGCACCCTCCACCCCCGCCCAAGTACCCACACTGGCCAGCTCACACCTTCTGGGTGAGGAACAACGGGAACTTCCCAGAGGAGAGAGGATGCATATCTTACATAGGCATCCGGGTGTCTTTGAGCAGATAAAGGGGCGACTTATGAGTGCTATCTGACCATCTTACGGGAACATTCTATTTGCCCCTCAAGTTGTGGCCCGGAGCCCCTCAGGTGAATCCTGAGTAACAACACTCACCCGTCACAGACTTCCTTTATTATCGCAGACAGCGGTTTTTTCTGCAAAACAGCAAAAAAAGGAAATACTGTTAGTTTCATTTCATCATTTTAAATGTTTAAAAAAGGAGAAGCAGAAGGCGAGTGGAGATCTCTAACTAAGGAGACTTTCCACTTGCTGTTCTTGGTTGTTCTGAAGAAGCCATTGCTATTCTCAAGGTAATCACTTGGCCGCCATCACCACCAAATATGCTGAAGACTGATGGCCCAGGTGGCACTTTCCTCTATTTAATAGATTAGCTGAACAAAATATGCATCATCTGCAGCTCAGCCACATGGAAGTCAGGGTGAAAACACAGCGTGGTGCGAAGATCTCAGGCCCGCAAGGTCAATGACAACCAGAACTCCTTGGAGGCCATGGGTCAGGCTACCAGCAGCCTGCTTGTACGCAAACAAGTGTAGACTCATGCTATTTTCATGGAACATGTGGCATATGAAATAGGAGGTATTGTGAAATTTTTCCTTCCGAGAGCATAGAATTCTTTCCATATCCCTGGCACTGACAAACGCCAATCACGCAGCAACTTGAGCTGGGCACACTTGAGTAATGGAACCAAGCATGTGCCCTGGTGTCAACTGGCAGCTGGCACAGCTGGTCCCCCTGCCTAGCAGCCACAGCTGTGCTCTGCCCGCCTCCAGATGGAAGGAATTCGGGGAGGCACACAGCTCGCCCAGAGATGTGGAAATGCTTTCTGTTTTGGATGCAAATAGACCCTGCCTGTCTCCTGGGATGTCAACCAAAAGAACGAGTCACAGACCAAAACAAATGGGGAAGAGAAATCAAAAGATCACACACGTGGTCCAAGATTTTCAGATACACCATGAAACTCTATCTACGTATAACTGAGTTTTAGTCCCTTTCCTCTGAGGCAGAGTGGTGTGGAGAAAGGCCTTTGGAGCCAAGCAGGACCAGTTCCAATCCCAGCTCATCCACTTGCCTGCAGTGGGAGCTACAACTTCCTTCATTTGCTGAACCTCAAACTAGTTTATCTGTAAAATGGGCATAGGACCTACTCTCTCAATGGGGCTGAGATATAATTAACTCAAATTAAATTACATTCGAATTAACACAAAGGGCAAAGGACACAAGAAAGCGTTCCGGTTCTGTCTTCCTTGGCCTCTCATGTCACTAGAAGAACATTTCCTTCTTGCACCTTTGTCCTTGGACACAATGCTACCGTATCCTCCCTCCTGTGAATTCGGAACACTGTAGTCCTTTCTAAGGCCCTCCAACCCTGCCCAGAGCTCTCACTCTGTCCTCATTGTTGCTCCAATGACCCCCTCCCGCTGGAGGTCCAGCCTCTATGACATATGCCACATGTTCAAAATGATGTCTGCCGACAACTATGAACAAGTGGGGGAAAGAAAGACCTAGAACTGGGGAGTGGAAAGATGGTGGGGTGTTCTTGCCATCCTGAGTTGGTCTCCTTTAGAATAAGATTGGGAATGGGGATCGGTCTCTACCATGAAGTTACATGTCACCTTCATCCTAGTTTTGCGAACCCTTGTCCATGAATTTAGCTGTAAGTTAAGGGGCAAATCAAATGAATAAATAACTGTAGGAACAAAACTTCTCCCGTAAGATGAAGATTTTGGCCTTTCAGTTTTTCATGAAGACCAATCAGTCCCTGAGACCCCTAATCTCACTCCCTATACCCTCCAAACTGAAACATAAGTAACAGAGCTGGATTTTAGCCTTAAATGACATTGAAACCACAGATCAGGCCAAAGAAGTGTTGCTATGGAGGTAGGAAAAAGCACCTGACATCACAGCTCCTGGAATCTGACTTCCCAGTTGAGGTCTCTTAGAGGAACTTGTGGGATTTTCATTCAGGTCTGACTCATAGACACAGAATCAAATTTGAAAAGACAGAAGGCTGTGGACTTCTAGAACGATTACATCTAGGACATTCTGAAGATGGATAGAAGGAAGAAGTAAAGACCATGGAAAAACCAAGCTTAAACACCTACTAGAGAAGATTAAAGAACTCTTAAGCCACAGACTAAAAGGAATCACAGTGAACTGAACATGACGCACCCATTATGCAGCCTCACCTGAGCTGATGGCAGGTGAGGATGAGGTTGGTCCCACGGGCCACTTCCTACACCTGCCCCCTTCAGCCTTCTACCTGCTCCAATCAGACATGAGCTTCCACCACCACGCAAACCTAGTTCCAATGACTTTCACAGTGTTCATCTCCCTTAATCCGCCCATCTATTTGATACCATTACTACCACCTTCTCTTTGACACCCTCTTTCCTGCGCTTGTGTTGTATTTCCTTCATTTTCCCATACTTTACCCAATCCAACAAAATCCAAGAGATATAATACTTCCTTGTTTCTCTTTGACCTCTAGCGTCCAAAGCTCCGTGCTTCTGTTCTTGTGTCTTCTGCTTTTACTTAATCGGTCAGTTCCTCACTCACTGCAACTGCCCTAAATCTATTCTGGTCCCAGAACCCTCTCTTGCAAATCTTTGACAGCTTGTTAAAAATAGCATTTTAACTCTCCTTCAGGCATCTTATTTAAATATAAAACAAAATCCATCACTCTCACCACTCACTACCCATCACTCTATCCTAACATAGCGTGCCCCCAAAGCCCTTCACCCCTCACCATGACAACCGTCTTGTTGTAACTCCACTGCTGCCAGGGGCATCATTACCTTTATTTTCTTAATCTCCAGGTCGAATTGTTGACAAGGTTGTGTAGCATTTTCCTCTGTGATGCTCACATTATTACCTCTCTCCTCCTAACTACCCTTCTCAAGTCCCGATGCCCCTCATTCCAACTCCAGCTATCGGATGAATCGTTCCCTAATCCCGTCATCCTTAATCCTGCTTCCCCAGCCCCAGCGCCTTTCCTGAGGACTAGCCCATCCTTACTAACTATAATACGTGCCCGGCGTGTCCCATTAATGCTCCACTGGCATATCAACCTCAGGTTCCCACCTTCCATTAGCTCCTCCTTTTGGCAGTTCTATAGAGGACCTGCCTTCTCCTTTTCTTTGCCCTATTCTGTGATAATCACGTTTACAAGACACTGAGGCTCATCCTTATTCCTCCACGCTCCCTCTCTCCTTTGTCCTTTCCAGACCTTATCCCCACCTTTGTTAAGAACTCGCCTCGGGATCCCATCACCAGACCCCTGCAAAGGAATCTACACATCTCCAAGTTTCTTTCTTCCCGTTCCTCACTTGAACTGTAATCAGGCAAAATTAGAGCTTCCCCTCAAACTTTGCTCATGTCAGTCTTTTGCTCCAATATCCTCCATAGATCGCCAATGACCACCATCTACATTGTGTGTGTGTGTGTGTGTGTGTGTGTGTGTGTGTGTGTGTGTGTGTATTCCATACTTTCACTTTATTCATTGTATTTGCTGAACTGTCCCTCTCTTCTTCCTGCTCCATCTCTAACAATGAACCATTAATATCCATGTCAAAGCCATCTCCTCTAAGCACATGTGCCTGGTCTCCCCAGAGAGAGACCCAGCCTCTTGGTGGGAAGTACTCCCAAAAACTTGTACCTCTTGTACCTCCTTGTCTCTGAGGACACAGCATCTTGATACATCTTTGTACCTTCACTCGGTACTCATTTCCATAGGGCATAGATGCCAACAGGATCTCAGAGACTCAGTACACTCCTGCTAACTGGGAAATCCACACTCTCACTAACTTTCCTTTAAAAAAACAAAAGGCTCGAGTATAAAGCCAACTCTTTGGAAGGACAGCCTGGATTCATCAGTACTCCATGGCCCATGTCCTACCACGCCAGCCACTGCTGGGCTGGAGGCAGCTGCTGGCTCTAAACCGGTGGACCTGTGAGGGCTGTCTCTGCTGCCTGCACAGACCCCTCGCCAAGGGTTAGCGTGATTCACAACCTGGAAGAGCCCTGAGCGAGGCAGCTGATGGAGCGTGTAATTCAACAGGTGATAAAACAGGTACCAATCAAGTGACTGTCCCAACCCCTTAGCAAGGCCACACAGGGGATCAGCACAACTTCCATAAGCAGATGCTGAACCAGATACCCCAACAGAAAACACTCTTCTAGAACCAGTGCCCACAGAGAGCCTCGGTGGGTGGGACAGCTCTGGACTGACCCCACTCCCAGCCCAGCCCTGACTCTGCCAAGCTCTGCTTCCTGTCTGCTGGTTACACAGGATGCGCCTACCTGCCCGGATCCCTAAGACACAGGAGTAGTGACAAGGGTCACACCTGCAGACCCGCTGAATAAGTTCCCTTCCACCTCATTGAGAAAAACGGCCCGGAGAAAAGAAAATCTGGTCTAAAAGAATGAAAACTGGTTTTTCTCCTGTGACTCCATAAACCCCAAAGGAACGAAAAATAAAATCTTATCCTCTATTTGAATATATCTGGATTTAGGATACTGAGGCAAAATTATTTTAACTGCCTGACCATGTTTTCTTAACTTACAAACATTGTAACTAAATTCCTTCAGCTTTTTGTATTTTTTTCTTTGTTTTTGTGGGTTTTTTTAATTGAATGTATTAGGGTGATATTGGTTAATAAAATTATACAGGCTTCAGGGGTACGATTCTATAATACATCATCTGTGCTCACCACCCCAAGTCAAGTCTCCTTCCATCACCACGTATCCCCTCTTTGCTCTCTCCTACCTGCTTTGAAGGTCAAGATTGCTTTCTAAGACTCCCAGCCAGCTGAAATGGGAAACGCTGGTTTTAAAGATAACCAGGAGGCCAGACAGTCGTCATAGGTTTCTCTGTGCACAGGATCAGGGACTGTTGCACGTTAGACCCAAAACGCATTTTCTTCCCTGTTCCCTCAGGCAATACAGGAGAGCACTTCTTCACTTTATAAACAATTTAATGTCAGCGGAAATATTTTTATTTGTCAAGCAAAGTATGCATTTCCATACAAATTGTTGGCAAAGCACCACGGGCCAACAGTGATGTTCACGGAGTGGCTCTTTCTGTTGTTTTGTTATTTTTGTTGATTTATTCATCCCTTTTTATTTTAACTTTTTT